ACGGAAAAAATCCAGGAAAAGTTTTTGGACCATATCATAGCCTCCTTGGGTCATTAATCTCCTCGGCCCTTGCAGATACATGAGACAGAGTCAGTGGCTGGAGTTCTTGTTCCATCCTGTGCTCTGAAAGACTGACTCTTGCCACCACCGCCTCCTCAGTTCCTCAATTTCAAGCCCAGGAGAGGCACGTGCGTCATGTCACAGCCGCTGACCCCCGCCCTCCTCCCTGCAGCGGCCCCTCCCCAGCCCCGTCTCCTCCAGTGGCCCCAGGCAAGTGGACTGCAACTTAGACGGGACTCTTGTCTTCACAGAAGTCCTTTTCTTTCCTTGTGGCCTCCTAACTTGGGGACTGTGGCCTCTTGCCTCTCCCTCCCTTGAGGCTAAAGCCTGTCTTGTGCCTCTTCTGTGCAGACTCAGTTAGAACATAAAGAGGCCTGTGGCCCCGGGGACATGTGAGAGAGTGTGTCTGTCTGCAGAGAACAACGGCTGCTCTTCTTTTGGTCCTGTTCCTCTTATTCCAGAGCCTTAGAGGACATGAGTGGCAAAGGCACAGAAATGACACTCCTGTGGCCAGGCATGAAATTTAGCCACCGTAAGTGAAGCATCATAGCCAGGGCATGAGCCTGCAATGATGCAATGCGTGGAGGCAGGGACAGGCAGTGGATGGCATGTAGTGACAGAAGTAGCCAGGGAACGGGCATGGCATCCGAGGGGGGAATGCCTGCATTAGGTCCCAGGAATGACTGACACGGACTCAGGAGCCTGAGCACGAACAGAGACATCTGTACCTTTGAAGTTTTGGTAGTTATTTAACAACGCTGCAATTATCCAGCATTCCACTTCACCCACTGGGATGAGGTGTGTGAGAGACTGAATCATTGTAGAGGAAATTTTAGGCTTCTCAGACTCCTCTACTGGGATCTAAGGGATAGAGAGGATGCTCTCCTAGTTACGGAAGTTGCAGTTCCTCCCTGGGTATTAGAAACTGGTGTCCATAGTTGGTAAGATGTTCACATCTTAAAATCTGAAGAGAGATCCTAGAGTGAAAATATAAGTCAATGAAGTCTCCAAACATAACTACAGTTGGTTCTCTGTATCCATGAATTCCACATTCTTCGGTTCTACCAACTGCAGATGGAAAATATTTAAAAAATACAAACAAAAACAATAGTGTAATAATTACTGATATAGCATTTATCTTGTATTAGATATAAGTAATTTAGAGATGATTTAAAGGATATGGGAGGATATGCGTAGTTTTTTTGCAAATACTAAGCCATTTCATACAAGGGGCTTGAGCATCCTTGGATTTTGGTATTCAAGGGAGTCCTGGACTCAATCTCCCAGAAAGGACTATATTTTTAATTCAAAGCTTGTTGTCATTTGTGTTTTTCTTTATTGCATTAGGCCAGAATCAATTGCTTCTGTGACATTCCCGTGTTACTACCACATATCCTATATAGGGAATGGGCTTCAATGTCTCATATAGTTTGGATATTTGTCTCATGTTGAATGGTAATCCCCATTGCTTGGGGTGAGGCCTGGTGTAAGGCGCTTGGATGGGGAGCCCTCATGGCTTGGTTCTGTCTTCTTGACAGGGAGTTCTTGCAATATCTGGTCATTTAAAACTTTGTGGCGAAACCCTGTCTCTGTTAAAAACACAAAAATTAGCCGGGCATGGTGGCACATGCCTGTAATCCCAGCTACTTGGGAGGCTGAGGCAGCAGAAGTGCTGGAACCTGGGAGGTGGAGGTTGCAGTGAGTCGACATCGTGCCACTGCACTCCAGCCTGGGCGACAAAGTGAGACTCTGTCTCAACAACAACAACAACAACAACAACAACAACAAAAAGCGTGTGGCAACTCCCTGCCCACTCTCTCTCTTGCTCCTGCTTTTGCCATGTGATGTGCCTTCCTCTCCTTCACCTTCCTCCATGATTGGAAGCTTCCTGAGGCTTCCCTAGAAGTCAAGCAAATGCCAGGGCCATGCTGCCTGGATAGCCTGCAGAACCATGAGCCAATTAAACCTCTTTTCTTTATAAATTACCCAGTCTGAAGTATTCCTTTATAGTAATGCAAGAATGGCCTAATACAATATCAGAGAAAGGATTTTTGGTCATATACCTGCCTGTCAAACCTACAGTACCCTGAAACTGTTGGAAATTGCATTCCAAAGTGTTTTTAAGAGTATAAGAACATTTTCATATTTATTATTCCTTTTCAAAATATCCCCATGGCATAATATAAAACATTTGTTTTTGACCCAGTTCCTATCACAGAGCACCTAAAACGCTTGGAATTTCCGGAGTGTCAGGAGTGTATTTTGTTACTTGGAATGAGTCCCTTTGGATCACACCAGAGTTTGTGCCAATTAGGTGACTTAGGATGGGGCTGGCTACTAGAAAGACTACATGGTTAGAGGCGTGGAGCTTTCAGCTGGGAAGCGGGAGGGTAGGGGGCTGGAGGTGAAGTTCTATGGAAATTCTTGAACCACAAGATTAGATGAGCTTCCTGGTGGCTGACCACAGGGCTGGGGGCCACTGCTGGGAGGGTAGCACCTGGACAGTGCACAGACGCTCTGCCTCTGTCCCCCAATACCTTGCCCCATCCATCTCTTCATCTGACTGTTCATCTGTAACCTCTGTAAGGAACTGGTAAAGTAAGTGTTTCCCTGAGTTCTGTGTGAGTAGTCTTAGCAAATTATTTAAACACAAAGAGGGAGTTGTGAGAATCCCAATTTACAGCTAGTGGGTTGTAAGTATCGGTGACAACCTGCGACTTGGTATTGGCATCTGAAGTGGGGGGCAGTTCTGTGGGACTGAGTCCTTAACCTGTGTGATCTGACGCTATCCCAGTAGAAAGGGACAGAATCAAATGGAATTACATTTCGTGTCTGCTGGAGAATTGCTTGGTGTATGGGGAACTGTGTCACACAGAAGTGTGTGGGGTCACGCAAGTGTGCTAAGTGTGAGAGTAGAGTGAAAAAAGTTGTTTTTTTTCCTTTTTTTGAGACGGAGTTTAGCTTTTGTTACCCAGGCTGGAGTGCAGTGGTGTGATCTCAGCTCACTGCAACCTCTGCCTCCCAGGTTCAAGCGATTCTCCTGCCTCAGCCTCCTGAGTAGCTGGGATTACAGGTGCGCGCCACCATGCCCCACGCTAATTTTTTGTATTTTTAGTACAGACAGGGTTTCACCATGTTGGCCAGGCTGGTCTTGAACTCCTGACTTCAGGTGATCCACCTGCTTCAGCCTTCCAAAGTGTTGGGATTACAGGCGTGAGCCGCTGCACCCAAAGTTTATTTTTTTTCTTTGCAATCCCATTAAGACATTTTTCATCCCCATTGACAAGGGCCAGCTGTGTATTTGGAAATTCACAATATTAGAGGGTCTAAATTTGGACGCAGCATCGTTTGAGTCCTTTCTAAAATAGCATTCTCATGCTGCAGGAGGAAAATGGTGATTATACAACTGAGTGAGCCGGTGTCAGAGGTCTGGAATGCAGCTTACCGACTCCACGTTGAAAGATCTTAACAGCTCTTTCTCACCTGCCAGTTTATTTTCCCTAAAAATACTTGCTGCTTTTATAAGGGATGGGAGCCACTTTTATGGAATGGTTTGGTAATACCCAGGCTTTAAGTCGAGCTAAGTTTTTGGGGCACTATGTTTCGAGAAAGCCTTGTAAATGCGGGTGGCACCTACATCTTGGAGGTCAGGCCAGTGTTTCAGAGTCTTATGCAAAGTGTCTGCAGACTACACTGTTTCCTCATCAGCTTTGACGGTGCCATCCCGTTGATCTCATCACTGAACATGACAACTGGCTCTGTAGTGGCCCTTTTTGTTTTTTTAAATGGGTGGTCATATTTGGAGGGGGTGAAACTGAGTGACTAGACTCTGATCCGAGAAAATTCTGTTATTAACTAGGCTGCTTTATAGTCAAACACCCATAATTTCAAATGAGGTCCTCTGTTTATGTTTTATTTCTCTGGAAAGCGACTGAGAACATCAAGACTAATCATCGCTATAAAACGCAGCTGAGCGCGCCAGAAGGGCCTGTGCTATAGTTACTTATTTTGACCTTGAAAATGAGATTTGGGAAAAAAATGATATGGTGGCATTGTAATGACAAAGCACTAAGTAGCTCAGGAGCTGGAAGGTTTGGGTTCTAGTCCTGTCTCTGCTCTGAACCTATTTACCTCGGACAAGGTATCAGATCCTGCTAGGCCTATGTTCTTTTCTCTGCAAATAATAAATACTAATTTAATAAGCTAAGGCTGATTTAATGCCTATAATGTAAAGGTGTGCTTCCAAGCACTGTACATATGTTCATTCATTTAATCTTTATCTCAAGGTTTTTAACTGAATTCCAGTTGCAAAGTCTCCTTTGCCCTGGAAGGTTACATAGTCATAGATTTGGGGATGAGGATGTGGACGTCTTGTGGAAGGGTAGTCAATATTTTGTCTGCCATAACCACGGTACTTTAAGTCAGAGGTTGCAAACTGATGTCTGGTGCACTGGATTTGACTCTATCAGTTCTCTTTGGCATGCTCAGAGGTTACACTTTTTTTCTCTTTTTTTGAGGCGGAGTCTTGCCCTGTTGCCCACGCTGGAGTGCAGTGGTGCAATCTCAGCTCACTGCAACCTCCACCTCTTGGGTTCAAGGGATTCTCCTGCCTCAGCCTCCTGAGTAGCTGGGATTACAGGTGCGTGCCACCATGCCCAGCTAATTTTTTCTATTTTTAGTAGACATGGGGTTTTGCCATGTTGGCCAGGCTGGTCTCAAACTCCTGACCTCAAGTGATCCACCCACCTCGGCCTCCCAAAGTGCTGGGATTCCAGGCATAAGCCACTGAGCCCAGCTGGTTTCACTTTTTTTGAGCCTGAATGCCTTTAGACAGAGTGTGTGTGATCTAATTAGCCCACTCCCCAGGCCTCACTTAGATAGTACAGGTGAGCATGCTCACATCTGTCCTGCTTTTTTTTTTTTTTTTTTTTTTTTTCCAGATCATTCCTGGACCCCCGAGGGCCTCTGAGTTTGAGACGCTGGATGAGATCATCAAATGATAAGAATTCCAATTTTTGTTTTCCTAAGTCTTTCATCCGCCAATCTACCCAACATGAACCAGGGGCCACCTGGAGGCCAGGCACGTTCTTAAGGTGCTCACAGCCCAGAGGTGCACGTCGGTGATTACAATGTGCAAGGTAAAACTGGATCGGCAGTTTCCAAGGACTGGTGTGTAATAAAATATCCTCAAAACAACAAGCAAGTTGGGCATGACTTAGACTTTCACTGCCCATGTGGAAGGCACTGTTCATTCTTGCAGCATCTCAGTTGGCCATCAAGAGCTGAGTCAGACAAAAACCATTCAGCAGCCACACGGAAGTGGGGCTGGCTGGGCACAAGGCAAAACTGTGAAGGAGATAAAGTGTCTGTGGTTCTGCCTTGACTCTACTCCCTGGAGTCCTCCCCTCTCGAGTTCCTAGAAATATGTCATCACTCTTGCTCTATCTCATTCCTGTCAAGACTTGTTTTAGAAATGGGTGCCAGAGACTCAGCTACATTCAAATGTAAACCCATTCATTCATTTAGCAAGTTACTTATTAGTGCCAGTGCTGTGTCAGGTTCTATATTAGGTACCAGGGTACAGTGATGAGCAAAACCAGTCCCTGCCCTTCTGGAACAGAGAAGATTGGAAGAGGATGGGGGGTAGCCATTAATCAAACAGTCACAGAAATGAGTGTAAAATGTAGCTGGAGTAAGGGCTTCCATGGTGAGGTACTTGGTGCAGGGATCTCTGGATCTGACCAAATCAGAAGGTCAGGAAAGGCTTCCAGGAGGAAGCGACACTGTGCTCAGAGCTCAGGGATGGAAGAAGGATGCTCTCTCTGGGCAGAGAGGAAGGAGAGAAGGTTGGTGGGAAGGAGGGCAGGGGCCAGATGCTGTGGGTGTGATTTGGATCTGTGTCCCCGCCCAAATCACATGTTGAATTGTAATCCCCAGTGTTGGAGGTGGAGCCTAGTGGGAGGTGATTGGATCATGGGGGGTAGTTTTTCATGAACGGTTTAGCACCAACCCCTTGGTGCTGTTCTGGTGAGAGTGAGTGCATTCTCGCGAGATCTGGTTGTTTAAAGGTGTGTAGACCCTTCCCCCTTGCTTCTGCTCCTCCAATGTAAGACACCTTGCTTTCCCTTTGTTTTCCACCATGACTGGAAGCTTCCTGAGGCCTCACCAGAAGCAGATGCCAGCATCATGCTTCCTGTACAGCCTGCAGAACTGTGGGCCAATTAAACCTCTTTTCTTTATAAACTACCCAGTCTCAGGTATTTCTTCATAGCAGTGTGGGAATGGCCTAATACAGCTGCTTCTAGGACTTTGATCTTCTTTTTCTAGGAGCAATGTGAAACCGCTGAAAAGTTTAAGTTTTAGGGTGTGGGAGGGGAGGAGTGAATGAAATGATCAGACTTACAGTGGAAAAAGATCACGTTGGTTGTTATACAGAGAAGGGATTGGAGGAAGCAAGAGGCAACCTGAGGAGAGGCTTCGGGAGGCTTGGCACACCTGGTAAGAGATGGTGGAGGCTTGGGCGAGGCCGTGGCAGTGATGTGCAAGCTCTTAGGAAGTCATGTAGCCACAGCATACATGAATGGACAGGAAGAAGCAGGTGTACAGGATATCTCCTTAGGTTTTCTAACTATTGCGACTAGATGGATGGGAATGCTGTTCACTGAGGCAGGGGCACTGCAAGAGAACCAGGGCATTTGTGAAGGAAGAGTAGAAGAAAATAATGAATTTGAGTTTGGATCTGTTATATCAGAATGCTCCTGAGACATGTGAATGAAGCTGTCATGTAGGCAGCAGGATACGTTTAGCTCCGTGGAGAGGAGAGGACTAGGCCAGTGATAGAAATCTGAGACTAGTCTGCAATATAGACAATATTTGAAGCCATGAGTATGGACAGAGTAGAGAATGGGAAGAGGAGAGGGCTTAGGATGGAACCTTGCAGAATTCCAGTATCTAATGCATGGACTAAGGAGGATGAACTTGCCATGGATTCTGGGGAGGGGCAGTTCTTGGAGATAGCATAAGGACTAAAATGTCATATCATGGAAGCAACGTAATGGGAAAGAAAATATAGTTACTAATGCTAAGGCTTTCTGAAGTGGAGTCGAAGAGGATCACACTCACACCTGCTGAAGGTCAAACCAGGGGATGTTCCAGTAGACTCGGTGAAACAACTGAAGTCAGCATCTGCTGGCCTTCAGCACCTCAGCTGAGAGTACCCTCATTAACTAACCAATCACAACGGCTTTGTGATTTAGGATTTCTGCCTGGCCAATGAACTACTTCTGAAGATAACTTTTTGTGACAATCCTCTATTTTAAAAATTCTCTCCTGCAGCCAGCTTTGTAGGGCACTCTTCAGGGCTGCCCTGATCCGGTGGACCCCAACTGCCATTCTTTGTCTCCCAAATAAGTGCTATGTGCTTTGACCTGTGTGTCAATCTTTTCATTAACAGTAAGACAATAGGTATGGCCCACAAAGAGTGCTGAGAGCTGCTGTAAGGTTAGATGAGGCCTGAAAAAAAATGCCCACTGGGTTTAGCACCATGGAGGCTGTTACTAGAGCCCCTTCAGTGGGGTGGCAGGAAGAGAAACAAGATTGGAGAGGGCTGAGGACAGGGGTGGGAAAATGGATGCACCGAAGGTGAAGGACTCGGCCACGAAGCCTGGCTTTGAAAGGGGTGAGAGAAGTAGAAGTGAAGGAGGCTGTGGTGGAATTTTATTTTATTTATTTTATTGTTTTTTTTTTTCAGAGATGGGGCCTCACATGGTCACCCAAGCTGGAGTGCAGTGGCACCACCTTGGTTCACTGCAGCCTCAACCTCCCGGGCTCAAGTGATCCTCTCACCTCAGCCTCCTGAGCAGCTGGGACTATAGGCATGCATCACCATGTCTAGCTAATTTTTAATTTTTGGTAGAGATGGGGTCTTTCTATGCTGCCCAGGCCAGTCTCAAACTCCTGGGTTCAAGCTGTCCTCCTGCCTTGGCCTCCCAAAGTGCTGGGATTACTGCTATAAGCACCACACCTGGCCAAACTGTATTGTATTTTTATCTCAGACGAGGGTTCACTCTGTGTCCCAGGCTGGAGTGCAGTGGCACCATCTCGGCTCACTATAACCTCCACCTCCCAGGTTCAAGTGATTCTCCTGCCTCAGCCTCCCAAGTAGCTGGCATTACAGGGACGTGCCACCACATCAGCTAATTTTTGTATTTTTAGTAGAGATGGGGGTTTTGCCATGTTGGCCAGGCTGGTCTCGAACTCCTGACCTCAGATGATCCACCCAACCTCAGCCTCCGAAAGTGCTGGGATTACAGGCATGAGCCACCGCACTTGGCCCAAATTTTATTTTTTAATGGAAGAAAATGGGGCATGTTTAATGGAAAGAATCCAGATTAGATGGCGGGGGGTGGAGGGAGAAGCTGAATATATAAAAAGGAAGAGGCCCACTTGGGAGGCTGAGGCAGGAGAATGGCGTGAACCCGGGAGGCGGGGCTTGCAGTGAGCTGAGATCCGGCCACTGCACTCCAGCCTGGGCAACAGAGCCAGACTCCGCCTCAAAAAAAAAAAAAAAAGAAAAAAGGAAGAGGCCCAATTGATAGTGCATGAGTCCTGAGAAGGTAGGAGGGCTTGGGATCCAAGGGATGGGGTGGCGTTATTTTTGAGTAGAAGAGGAACAGCTCTTTCTACTGGGACAGCGGGGAAGCAGGACAGAGTGGGTTGCATGTAGATTTGCAATGTTCAGTATTGGAATTATAGAGGAGTTCCAAATTGATAGCTTTTGCTTATTCATTCAAGTTGAGCTACACTGAAGATGACTTATTTTAGTTTAAAATTTTACCTTTCATTGGGAGATTTGTCTTTGAACAGAGACAAATTTACAAACCCAAGGCATAAAGCTCCAGCTTTGGAATTCCAGTCATCAAAGTTTTCAGGGGACACCCAGGGCATCTTGCCAGCTTCACCAAGCAAAGCAGCCATCTGCTTGGCTCATTTGATGATTGATGTACCTGGTGCATCTATTAAGTATTGGTTAACACAGAAAACTGAGCAGCAGAGCACAATGACGTGGTCACCTGTATCAGTCATCCCAAGGAGCTGATAACTCCAAGAATCAAAGTCAAGACGCCTTCTGAATTTACTGTATCTCCTTTGTTCCTATCTTGCCAGTAGATTTCACTAGTTGTATCTGATTAAAACTAACATTAAATTAAAAACAATTCCTGACTATATATCTAAACATGATCACTTTGCTAGGTGTCAAAGGCAATGATTTTTGGAGATAAATTTTTATATAAAATGAATCATCCAAAATTAAATGTTTAATGTACTTTCAAGTGATCTTAAGTAGCTTTGCTACTACTATATATGTGACCCTGGTTTATAAAATATGTCTGAGCGGCAAAATGGTTTCCATGCCTCAAATGTTTTTTTCTTTACCATGGACTATGGCTAAATGATTCTCCATTTACAGTGAACTGAAAAGTCTCTGGGTTCCTGTTTAAATGCCACATGCCATCAATTGCCATATGTGAGCCTTCTATTTTCTTTAAAAATTTAAGAATGGATCTTGCCTTTTTTTTCAGTCTGAACACTGCTGTCTCTACTGCTGAGCATAAGAAATAATCAAATAAATTGAAGTTTTCTTTTTTGCATAGAAAGACTGAAAACAAAACAAAACAAAACAATAAAAGCCCAAAATAAAGGCCACTTCAGTTTTAACCTTGGAAAAAGAAGACTGGTAGAGAATGTAGTGGCAAAATGCTTTAAATGTATGCAGAGCAGGTAGCATTGTCTTTGCATATTACAGCATCTCCCTAGAGAAGTGACAAAACCCTTGTAGGTTTTGTTGGTCTGGCTTGTTGAGGCCGACAGAGATTAGTTCTGCTGCACAGAGCTAATGGGCTTTCTGCCAGTTCCAGAACACCAAGGTCACAGCTTTCATTAGCATTTACAACTGCTTATTGTTTTGAGGGCCTTGATTTTAAAGTCTGGATCTCTGAAACCGTATCTGCATTTCAGGACAAAGGAAAAACAGAATTAACTTGGGTTTTCTGCAACTCAGCACCAGAGGAAGGTAACTGCATTTTCAGACAGATGGAAAGAGGAAATGCAAAAGTCCTCATGGAGAATGACAGAAAATAAGGTCCTCTCTCTAAAAGTAGGAGGAGATGGGGTTTTCTAACAGGTATCCTAGATGGAAGACTGAACAAGCGTAGATGGACTTGGTGGGATCAGGGGAAAGGGAGAAGTGCTGAATTCTATCCCCTCTATATCCTTTGGAAACTTCCTCCTGAGAACCTGTGAGTTCCATGAGGATTGGGGCATTTCTGTCCAGCCTTGGTTATTACTACATCCCCAGTTCCTAAGAGAGCATAGAGAGCATAATAGATGCTCATTTAGTAGCTATTTAACCCAGATCCCACCAGTTCAGATGCCACACATGCTCCTTGGTGATCTCATCAACACTCATGACTTCCAAAGCATCAATATGCTCATGATTCCAAAAATCTAAACCTCCAGTCATGTTTCTGAGTTCCTGGCCACCTTCTAACTGCTGTCTTGTACTCCTATGGGCCATCAGACTTCAAGGGTCCCAAATGAATTCATTCATCTTCTTCTCCCATACGTCTTCCTCTCCAAGTAGTCTTGCATGGAGTCCCAATGAGATGTCCAGGCCATGAAACTGGGAATCATCCTCTCTGAACTTCACTCTTAATGGTCAATCAACTACCAAGAGTCCTGTATCCACACCATCTCTGATTCCATCCACCACCACCTTGGGAAAGCAGCCCATCAGCATCTGTCCCAGTTGCTGCCAGCCTATCCCACTCTGGTCCTCCTCCAGCCCATAAAGAATGATCTTTCTAAGGGACTGATCTGATCATACCACTCTGTGCTTGAAAAGTAAGGATGCCTTTACAGTGCTCACAGGACAGAGTCAAAACACTCAATGTTCTGAAAGATTCTTCATGATCTGGCTACCTGTCAAGAATCTGCCCATCCTGTCCTTCACCCAGAACCATCTCTTCTTGGTTCCTTCCAGATTTGCATGCCCTTCCTCATAGCCTTACCATTCTTTTCCTTCCTGTCTGTCTGGCTAACCGACAATAATCCCGAACGTTACAGCTTAAGGCTTCAGTATCACTTCCTCTGTCTGCTAATCTCTTGGTTTAGGTGTGCTACAGTGTGCAACAATATTCTTGCATGTTCCATACCCCAGTGCTTGTTATACTTCCATTTATTGTCTATCCTGTTCACCAGACAATGAGGCTTATGCTCCGTGAGGCCAGGGCCACCTCTGCCTCACTCACAACCAGGGATGGCTTCCTGTGCAAAGGATCTGAGCAGGTGCACAGAACACCCTCCCACTCCACCCCTGCACAGAAGGGCTTTGTGCTTGGGGTTTAATGCTCCGTTGCCATTTCAAACTTTTCAATATTTTTGATTTTTTGAACAAGGAACCTCTCACTTGTTCACCATGACATCTGCAGAGCCTGGCACAGGGTCTGGTAACTGGAGATGCTTAATGTTTGTGAAATAATTAAATGGATGCTACTCCATGACTTTCCCTTACCTCTAACCTTTACCTCTTTCTTGCTTCTTTCCTTATGGCAAACAAATATATTCTCCATTAGAAATAAAACTCATTAAAACAATAGCAAATGAACAAAGCTGTCCTCTTACACCAGCCTCCTTCTCCAGCTCATGCTTCTCACTTGTCTGCTCTTGGCTGCCAGACCTCTCGAGAGGGTGGTCCAGGTTTGAGGCCTCACTAACCCTCCAGTCTGGCTTGTGTTCACACAGTTCTACTGTGCTGGTCCTCAGCAGGGGCGATTTTAGCTCCAAGGATCCATTTGGTAATGTCTGAAGTTATTTTTGGTTGTTGCAATTGAGAGGGTGCTATTGGCATCCAGTAGATAGAGGCCAGGGTGCTGCTAAACATCCTCCAATGCATGGGACAGCCCCACCGCAAAGATCATTCAATCCAAAGCATCCACAGTGCTTAGATTGAGAAGCCCTGCTCTACTGAATCAGTTCTTGATAGGGTCATCGATGATTTAATTGTCTAATCCAGTGGTCTTTTAGAGCCCTTATTTTACTAAACCTTTCTCTATTATATGATACCTTTGACTAATAGTCTCCTATTTTCCTCTTCGTATTTCCCAGTTTCTGCTACTTAGCAGATCTCAGGTGTGATGAAAAGCCCAGGGGTGCCCTATCCTTCAGAGTGGCTTTGGGCAGTATGACGCATGCCCGTCACCAGCTTGGGTCAGCCTGCTGTTTAACAAGTGTGAGATCTTGAATGAGATGGCATTCCTCTCTAAGCCTCAGCTTTTTCATCTTTGTGTGATGGAATAAAGAGAATGCTTTAACTGCCAGTCCTGGTCAAACTCCCTAGTATTTTAGTGCTAAGAAGGGGCAGAGGAGAAGTTGGGAAGCAGGGAGGACATAGCTTGGTTGTTTTATTCCTCTGCTAACAGCCTTCCACCACCTGACATTGCACTAAGAATAATGCTTGAATTCACTCCACACCACACCCTGGCCACAATGCCTCATTTACCTTCACTCCCTTATGCACAGTAGGACAGCCCAGTAGCACATTCACTGTTTAAGGAAGCTGAGATGCCTCCTCTGATTCTATCAGGCAGAGGTAGTAGTTCTGTCTATGGAGTTCCCCATTTTGACGATGGCCTTATCCATTACATTGATGATACCTGTGTACATGAAGATCTGCTCAGTTGGACTATGAATGCTCCAAAACCACAAATTACATC